CTAAATATTTTGATGAAACTAAACGTTGACGGTGTTAGCTGTCAAAGAATGATATTGTTAGGAACCTAAATATTTTGATGAAACTAAACGTTGACGGTGTTAGCTGTCAAAGAATGATATTGTTAGGAACCTAAATATTTTGATGAAACTAAACGTTGACGGTGTTAGCTGTCAAAGAATGATATTGTTAGGAACCTAAATATTTTGATGAAACTAAACGTTGACGGTGTTAGCTGTCAAAGAATGATATTGTTAGGAACCTAAATATTTTGATGAAACTAAACGTTGACGGTGTTAGCTGTCAAGGAATGATTTGAAATATTTTTGTTAACCTAAATATTTTGATGAAACTAAACGTTGACGGTGTTAGCTGTCAAAGAATGATATTGTTAGGAACCTAAATATTTTGATGAAACTAAACGTTGACGGTGTTAGCTGTCAAGGAATGATTTGAAATATTTTTGTTAACCTAAATATAAGCCGTATAGTCTGTCAAAGAATAATTAGAATTATTTGTATGATAGATGAAGTCTGATTTATATCTACTTAATCTCTAATATCCACGTTTGCGTAAACTATGACGTTTTTCTTTCCAGAAGTGTCTGTACAATGTCCATCCCTGCCTGACCCTGCGAATGGTAAAGTGCTGCCATGCCACTCAACCGTTGGTAGTCGATGCAAAATCACGTGCTCACCTGGTTACACCATATTTATTGGGTCTTCAACCCGCACGTGTCTGTCTAATGGTGCCTGGAGTGGGATTGAAACCATGTGTGTCACTGAAAGTAGCTTTCTGCAGTGGGTACCTCGTGCCTTTGGTTGACCTGCCCTTTGACTTATGGAATATTTGTTATTTGACCTCTATAGTACACATTGGAGTACAAAGTTTGTATTTTACTAGAACGCTCTTGAAGAAGCTGTAGAGCGAAACGTAAGTGTCCAATTAAAGAAAAATTTAACAAAAGGGGTGTTATAAGGTCATTTATTACTAACAGTATGGAAAATTCTTCCAGAAAGCTGATTCGTTTCCTATTTATATGACTGGTGAACTTTTAATACAAATTGTATAAATTGAAAAGCTTGAGCTTATTAATAGTAACCTTGAAACTCTCATGCATGCATTACTAGTCTCGGATTTAACCCACATCGGGTGACAGTTAATTCAGAAGTAATTGATCTATTACAATGTTCTCAAAGTTCTCGGATTTAACCTACATCAGGTGACAGTTAATTCAGAAGTAATTGATCTATTACAATGTTCTCAAAGTTCTCGGATTTAACCTACATCAGGTGACAGTTAATTCAGAAGTAATTGATCTATTACAATGTTCTCTAAGTTCTCGGATTTAACCTATATCGGGTGACAGTTAATTCAGAAGTAATTGATCTATTACAATGTTCTCTAAGTTCTCGGATTTAACCTACATCGGGTGACAGTTAATTCAGAAGTAATTGATCTATTACAATGTTCTCAAAGTTCAAATGTGCTTACTTTTCTTTTCCTTATTCGGTCTACTGTGTAGAGGGAAAATGTAAGGACTCTATCCAGAGCTTCCATGATGTTGTCTTGACTCCACCTCTTCCCCTTGCCTTATATCCGTTGTGGTAATTTATTCCAAGCCATTCTAGTGAGGTGGTCAAATCATGTTATTTGTTGTTTTTTAATATGGACTGGTCTTACTCACAACCTTTCTCATATCTTCCTTTCTGATTCTGTCTCGGAGCGATACTCCGAGGCTTCGGCTCAGACATCTTATTTCTGTTGTAGTGTTCCAAACATCTTAGATCTGTTGTAGTGATCCAAACATCTTATTTCTGTTATAGTGATCCAAACATCTTATTTCTGTTGTAGTGATCCAAACATCTTATATCTGTTGTAGTGATCCAAACATCTTATATCTGCTGTAGTGTTCCAAACATCTTAGATCTGTTATAGTGATCCAAACATCTTATTTCTGTTATAGTGATCCAAACATCTTATATCTGTTGTTGTGATCCAAACATCTTATATCTGTTGTAGTGATCCAAACATCTTATTTCTGTTGTAGTGATCCAAACATCTTATTTCTGTTGTAGTGATCCAAACATCTTATTTCTGTTGTAGTGATTCAAACATCTTATTTCTGTTGTAGTGATCCAAACATCTTATTTCTGTTGTAGTGATCAAAACATTTTATATCTGTTGTAGTGATCTTACGTTTCTGTGAAGTAGTTAAAGTCCAGGTGTGGCATTGATAGCATAGTGTTGGCAGGATTATAGTTTTTACGTTTTGTGTTTATGTTGTAGCAGTGGCGAAGGTTATCCTAAAACCTGATTTGCTTTGGTGCATCTGTTTATTTCACTGTCCATTTTACCATCTTCCATAAATACACTTCCCAAATACTTAAATTCTTCTGTCTGTTTGATGTCAGTATTATTCACCCGAATTCTCATTTCTTCTCTTTGTCTTCCACTAGACATCACTTCTGTCTTCTCTGTACTTCGCCCCCCCCGTGGCACAGTGGTATGTCTGCGGACTTACAACGCTAGAAACCGGGTTTCGATACCCGTGGTGGGCACAGCACAGATAACCCTTGTGCAGCTTTGTGCATACTTAAAAACAAACAATCTCTGTACTTAATTTCATATTATATTCTTTGCTTTTGATATCCAATCGATTCAGATGGTTCTGGAGTTTTCTATCGCTTTCGGCAGTAATGGTTTGGTCGTAAGCAAAAGAGGAGCTGATTAATATCATCCTTGTAGGATTAATGTTATATTATTTCGTGTCGTTTTTCTAATTTATTATGTGTTTTACGTTTGTGACTCAATGTTGTCAAGAGTATAGAGTGGCACATAGGAACTGTTCATGATGAGGTGGTGGTGAACCAACGTTTAGAAGAGAGAGATAAAAGTGGGCCAGTGGAGCATAAAGAATCAAAAGGTTGAGAAAAAGCTACGGACGAGGTGTGTGACTGTGCTGATATATTTGTATGTATTTTGTTTCAGAATATATATGTTGATTTGAAACAAGTGTGGTGCGTGCTGTTCATTCATAGTTACCTCTACCGTCAACAAGTCACAGACACCTATTGTAGAAGAATCCACAAAAACAAAACCTGAAAAATTGGCGTCCGCGAAAGGATTATACAGTGGTAAACGGAGGTAAAAGAAAACGTGAACGGCAGCGGAAGAAAAGGTAGCAACATCCAGTAACAAAAAAAGCTGTAGTAATATTGCATATAATGTGGAGATTACAATCACGCTGTAGAAATATGTCAACGTTTGAGAAACTGATAGAAATTGGCAATCAACAAGAAGTGCTAGAGAGAGAAGAATGGCAACTAAATTGATAGAAATTGGAGAACGTCTTGGGTTAAAAGATGGTGAACTATGATAGTTTGTCCAATCAACAAGAAGTGCTAGAGAGAGAAGAATGGCAACTAAATTGATAGAAATTGGAGAACGTCTTGGGTTAAAAGATGGTGAACTATGATAGTTTGTCAATCAACAAGAAGTGCTAGAGAGAGAAGAATGGCAACTAAATTGATAGAAATTGGAGAACGTCTTGGGTTAAAAGATGGTGAACTATGATAGTTT